ATCTCCTGAATAACACGAAAGTGCTCTGCTCACTGGGCAATTGCTATTATTACAGCAACGTTATCGAAATTGGAATTTATTGAAAACAAAAAATTTCAAAAGAATTCGTTAAAAAGTTAAGTAAAGGTTTTTGTTTACTTACCTTTAATGTTCATTAAATGCCGTTCACGAATCATTAACTGACTCTGAGAGGGATTTTTTTCAAATCGTTACTGAAGGATACCTTAAGCAATCATTAAACGACTCTGAGTGCGGCTGTAAATCATTTTTCAGGCTTGAGCGCCTCAAGCCACAATGCCTGAAAAACCTGCTATGGGGCTTCAGCTTAATTATAATATTTTGAGCATAACAATAAAAGTATTCGTAATCATAATTTTCATGATTACAATTACTGTAATTATAGGATTATAATTAAACAATCGTAATCAAAAATTACCCAGCTCTGGTAACCCGTTTAAATAGTTGGAGGCCGATTAACCGGCCGTGCAACGGGGTACAGTCGTTGCGCTGGGTATGCAGTTACAGTTGCATGGCTATACTCAATCCCGACTCTTGCCTCCTCGTTCGCGCACTCTGGGCAACGTGAGCAACTCATGTGCGAGATGCGGTAACCAATNGGGAGCTTCGGTGGGGCCACTCTGACTTATTCGGTTTAAGGGCTCACTGAAGTCTGCAGCGTCTGTTCACCAGTAGGTGCGGCTGCAAGCGGGTGTCTGCTTGGAGCAAGCGGCTCGCTATATAAACGTGTATTTGGTTGCGAAACCACCCCCGTCCCAGCAATGGGTTGTGCGCTGGGCTTGGGACCCGCCACGTAAATCCCACTTCCAGTGAAGAAGCAAGGCAAAGCCTCGGATGAGACCCCCCCTTATGATGACGACCACGGCAAATGTTTAAAGGACTACGATTTGAGGGCATGCACCTGGAATGTCCGGACCCTTAATGGGGAAGGTGCCTCTGCCCGGCTGGTTGATGTCCTCGTAAGGACAAAAGCTGACATCACCGCCATCCAAGAAATGCGTTGGACGGGGCAAGGCAAACAATGTCTGGGGCCTTGCGACGTCTACTACAGCTGCCATGTAAAGGAGCGCAAATTCGGAGTTGGATTTGTGGTGGGAGAGAGACTCCGTCGCCGAGTACTGTCGTTCACCCCGGTGGACGAGCGTCTAGCCACAATCCGCGTCAAAGCGAGATTCTTCAACATCGCGCTTATCTGCGCCCATCAAACTCCGCATAAAAAATCTGCATGATGGCCCGAATATGCCGCATAAATTTGGTTGACTTTGGTGAAGCCGTTCTTAAGTTATATTGTCACACCAAAAACGTGCACTTATTTTTATATATAAGATGTAGGTAAAAAAATTTAGCTACCATTTTTAGCCACAACGACGATTTTTAGCTCTTTTTTAGCCCTTTTTTAGCTGGAATTTAGCTACCACTAAAAACGTTTCGCGGCAACACTGATGACCAAGCCAGCGGAGCCGCTGTATTTTAATTCGCTGCACTATGTCCATATCGTTGTAAAGCTCATACAGCTCATCGTTCCATCGTCTGCGGTACTCGCCGTCGCCAACGCGTAAAGGCCCGTAAATCTTCCGCAAAATCTTTCTCTCAAACACTCCAAGAGCCGCCTCATCGGATGTTGTCATTGTC